GAATCATAATATAATATAACCTCTTTAATGCAATTTCCTGCATTATGAGGCAGCACTATTAAACAATCTTCATCACAATAACATCACTGTTGAGTTGAATATTTTTACCTTTGGGGACACCAGACTAAAATACTTACTACCAAATCTGTGCTATGTACATGTTCTCACTGGGGTTACCAGTGCAGACTTACCTAGGCTAAAATACCTTTGCCCTGAAAATTCTAGGGGGGCGACCGCCCCGTGCTACCGACCCCCCGTTGACAATTACAGCACTGGAATCATCTCCCCTGAAATTTTGATAAAACGTATATTTTACTGAGAACGTTAAAACTGCAAAAAAAATATGAGAAAAACAACCAGATTTGAACAAAAAAGTGCATTTTTTCACCCCTTGTACAAAATCAGGAATATTATATTCCTGATTTTGTATATAAGGGGTGAAAAAATGCACTTTTATATATTGCACATTATATACTTCCGTTCGGGTCTCAGCACCCCCATCCCCTCAAAAATTTTTGAGATAAAATAAAATGTTCCCATTCAATCCCCGTGAAGATTCAACATCCCAACTCTTAATAGGTCTATTATAATTTTGAATAAAGCAAGGATTTAACTTTCGTGAGCAGTGATAAGACTTTGGGGATTTTGAAAAAAAAATCGTATATGGGGAACCCGTCCAAAATTAACCGTCTGAGTTTCAGTAAAATAATGTCATTCTTGGAACGAGTTACAGCCATTTTACAGTAGATGTATGTCACGTTCCATTTCTGTAATAATACATTAGGAGAGTATGAATAGCGATGACGGATTTGTAGATAAATATCTAGTATTTATTGTCTGTAAAATATTAAATTTTTCCCCATTTTCTTCCTGAAAGTAGGGGGGATGAAAGCCACCCCACCTCAATAAGTGTGGGGGGATATACCCCATCCCCCGCTATCTACGCCCCTGTCAGATAAACTCAAATTTGACTTTTGATATGCATACAAATATTCATAATCATAATATTTGTTAGCAGTACTCTACAGGTGCCACGGAACAATTTTTGAAGTGGGGGTGCTCAATTTGTTATGCTCGGCAGTGGCCAATGCAGGTTTTCGAGGAGGGTGGTAAGAAACAGGCGGGGGTATGCGGGTCCTCCACCAGAAAATTTTGAATCCCCCATTTTCCTCCTGAAAGTAGGGGGGGGATGATTGTTCACGCCATCCCCCCCACCTCAATAAGTGGGGGGATGCATCCCCCCATCCCCCCCGCTATCTACGCCCCTGCTTGTGTGGGTGTAGTTAATACGTCTTCAATAGAGTATAGTCGTGCATCTTGTTGTCAAGCATGAGTATCTCATTTCTATTGTATATAACGTTCATGAACTCGGCTAATGTGATCAGGAGTGTACAATTATAGATATCTATATCATATATGATGTAAATATAGATATAGATATCTATATCATATAATATCTATATTATACACTCCTGATATTATATCGACTGCTCCATGCACACGCTGGTGGCGTGACACGACCGGGATGGAGACTGTATCCATGCCGGCGGTCTCGTCTGGTGGTTACAAGCCTACATCGTGCAAACGGAAAGATCTAATTCTAGCCCATAGGTCCGCATTGTTTTTCCTATTAGTCTAAAACGGAACCGACACAATTTAAAAGGGAACGAAATCCTGAATGAATCTTTCCCATGAGGCGAGAATGCATAACCCTAATCCTTCTTATACGAGATTTACTTATCGTTGCTTTTTGTTAGTAAATACCTCTCATTCACTAAGCTCGTTTATTTCTATGCACCATTTCAGTTTTGCCTTTCCTTCGCCAGTTTATCTTCCATGCGTATTACGTAAATTACGCTCTATCGTGCAGTACCTTGTCATTGCGCATATTCATCTATACTCTGCCTATTTGCTTGTCTACAGCAGCGTTTAAGCATACACTTCTCCCCATAGATACAACAAACACTATGCTGCACACCACATATGCAATTAAACTTATGCATTGTACATGATCCTCTATACTCTGGAGATTTGCTTGTCTATGGGAGCGTGTAAGCATGAACTACTCAAGATATAGATAATACAAACACAACGTTATGTGCAATTAAACTCAGCTCACCTGGGAATCTTAATGGAGGGCATCAGCGAAAATCCTCACGCTGCTTTATTCGCGTTTGCGTAATAGACGATCTTCCATTAGAGTTCTCTCTCCTCCACCTCTCTCTCTCTCCTCCTATCCTTTTCTCGCTTCTCTCTCTCTCTCTCTTTCTCTCTCTCTTTCTCGCTTAGTCTGTCTGCCTGTCGCGCGCTCTCTCTCTCTCGTTCGTCCCTCTCTCTATTCACCAACACTCGTGCCTCCCTCGCCACACGCCGGCTATCCTAACCAAACACCGTATTCTCGCCAAATAATAAGATCAGAGATTGTTCCACGGAGAGTTTCTCTACTGACAAGACTGTCCCACCGAACCGAAGAAGCCAACACTCAGCCTCCTCATCCTTCTTCGTCTCATCCTCTTCCTCCGCGTCGTCGTCTTCGTCGTCGTTGTCTCGCCACGCATGTATCCATCAAACATGTTCCCCCGCTATTCTAGAACTCACGCGCTGTGCAGGCAAGCACGCGCATGCAGCGTCGCCGACTGCCGCGCGGCCGAAGGAAACTAAAAATCGATAACGCCGCCGGCTCTCCGTGTCTGTTTGCTTTTATAAAAGCCTCGCTGAGCAATTGCATCTCCCACGCCGTCCTTCCATCTATCCATCCATCCCTCCACCCACTCATTCATTCATCCAGTGAGATAGTTCGTGTCCAAACGCCGTGAGTAGCAACGGATCTCAGACGCGTCGACTCTGTAACGTTTTACGCACTCACCTCGCAGCACAGGTGGGTTCGTGCATGGTGGGGAAGGTTGCACGTTTGCGACGCGCTCGCCTCTCTCGCCCTCTCCATCGCTCTCCCTAGAAGCTTGGTGTATTGACTCGAGATATTCAATACGCACGCACCATGGCATTTAAAATGTTCAAGCTTCCGAATTCAGTTTTATCGATCGGTGCACTATTATGTGACGTGGACCTCAACTACATGCAGAAGCGAATTCAGCACGGCAACGAAACAATTTCCGCGAATACAGAAAATGTACTAAATGACCATAAAATTGTGACAAATAAAAATATAGAGCGTATATTTTAGGAAGAAAATGTTTGCCTGTTATGTACGTACGCATAAAAATAATTAAACGAGTTAAATTCATTAAAACACAGCAGTAATTACATCCGCAACACCGCAATAATACGCTTTTAATGCTACCCACGGGTTAAGTTGTCTGATATAATATAATTACGAGGCATATAGCCCTATTGCAAGGATGTGTTATGAAAGAGTTATGGAAATTTAACTGCGCAACGTTAAGCTTCAAACGCAAAATAAGTCAGCAATGAGAACGGTTCAGTGTAAACGTTGTTGGATGTGTCATCGGTTGTGTATAATTAAGAGCAATTAACAAGAGAGGTAGGTTGAAGCAAAAATGCGAGTAAATTGCAGACAATTCTCGATTTCTTGCATATACCCGTGTATAATATCCAATAAATTCTTAGCCCAAATACATACGCGTACGTTCGACATACGAACATTTGTCTAGAAAACGCGCAATTAAACCACTTTTACTAGTCTCTTGGTAGTAATTTCATTTTGATGTAGCGCCCAGAGCCCTTATAATGTGCGCTATTACTTTCACTATGATAGTGCACATCTCGACAAGATTGATTATGGGAATTTTATTTTCGAAAGAGGATTATTATAGCGATTTAAACCATCACACAGACGTATAGCGTAGAACTGTATCTAGCTGTAGATCTTATTGCGACTGTGTGTGCTAGAGGCGTGCTTTGAAAAATACCTTACTCGTTGGAACCGAATTACGATTTTGTAGTTTACGTAATTATTTACATCGCGTTTAAACAAGACGACGTGTTTCGGAGATGTTTCATGTGATTAAGTACTTGAAAAAAAAATTATTATTAGCAAACCATGTCACTAATCGTCACCCGCAGCTATATAGGCCCTATATATATATATAGGCCTACCTGATCAGATCTGGGTTGTGATTGAAATATTAAGAAATGCAAAATAACACAAACGTATCTAAACAACTGTACGCTATCAAGAGCTAATAATACTTGGTATTATGTATGCATGTATTATTAGCTCGTGATGCTATAGATATGCGCATGATAATAATCACGGGGTTTGGGTTCTTGAAGTGGTTAGTGAGTAGGAATACAACCCGTTATGGCTAACACCATGAATATATTACATAAACCGCTACAAAGGTATTGGATGAGAAGATTATCGAGATAGAGGAGGGAGTGGTAACAGAGCTATAGCAAGTCCTCCTCTACCTGCTCCACCTTCTCCACGTTCTTGTCATCCTCTACCTATTTCTCTTCATTGTCTGTTTGGTTTGCCCCATACTCCCGCCTTCGTCATCACCCTGTTTTTTACCTCATACACATTTGCTGTCTTCGTCCTCGCCAATCATCTCTTCTATATATATATATCTTCTCTTTCTTCTCTAAGTATACGCCGCCATGGTTTTTTCATATACTCTCCCTCTGGCTCTGCCATTTCACATTTCTTCACATCCCCTACCCATTCCTATATCTATCATATATCCCTACGTTCCCATCAACACATATGTTTCTATATCCCGCTTCCTGTATTTGCTCCCCTTCCTCTTCCTTCTGAGCTTCTCTCCCGACCCCTCCCCCTCGTCCAACCCAGCTTCTTGCCACGCTAGCCTCAGCCTCTCTGGATTCGCAAACATCTTGATTGAAGAGATGTTAGTGTTTATAATTTTTTCTTTAGTTAACCTTAGAATAATAACCTGTTTACTTAACCTGTAGAATAATAAAGAAGGTATGAGCAAGAAAAATGTACATTTTAGCTCCAAAAATCGGCGAGTGATGGCAGCACATATGAATGCTCACTTGTTCGCATCAAATTTGAGCCGAAAAACGGCGAAGTTTCGATGCTGCGTCGTGATAGTGATACAGCGTGTTATTCCTTTTTATATAACTCATAATAAATAACACTAAAAATACATAATAGGTAATAACTGCTCAACATGGTTGAGTGAAGTTACGCGTGTTGTTTTGCAATTGTTCTGTGCATCCCTCGCTGCCACTTTCCCGGCACTAACTCAGTAACTGACTCGTAACTCTAGCCTGTGGCTGTAGGCACAGGCCCTTCGCCAGGGCCCTTCGCCAAAGGCCAGGTGCGAAAGGCCCTTCGCCCAAGGCCTTTGGCGAAAGGCCCTTCGCCAAAGGCCAGGGGCGAAAGGCCCTTCGCCAAAGGCCAGGGGCGAAAGGCCCTTCGCCAAAGGCCAGGGGCGAAAGGCCCTTCGCCAAAGGCCAGGGGCGAAAGGCCCTTCGCCAGGCCCTTCGCCAAAGGCCGCTTCGCTCTTAATATAGTCTTATAGTTATACTCTTTTGAAACTTGAGCCTCCAAGGGCCTGTGCTGTAGGGTAACAAACATTAACACTAACAGTGGTCAGTGCACACATGCGCATGCACCTGTGTTAGTGCAACTAGGTCTGTACGGTCACACTGACAGTACTGTAGACTAGTACTAAAGCTAATCTATCTCTAGCTCCAAGAAACAGCCATACATGAAAAGATCGTGTATCGTCGACGTTATTATCGGTTGGGCTATCAAGTAGGCCCTATCATTTGCACCTACCCGCTGTACATTCTGGCAGTACCCTGGGGGACATAGACCCTATGAGCGGCAGTGACAGTGGCATGATCTAGGGCTTACTTGATAGCCCAACCGATAATAACATCGACGGGTGCAAATCCACTTTAGGCACCTTAGGTATCACAAAGTGATGCACAGATTTCTGTGTGTCATCAACTGATGCACAGACTTTCCGTATATCAAGGAATGATGCAAAAACCCTAACCCTAAGTTCTAACCCTAACCCTAACCCTAACCCTAACCCTAACACACTTCGTGATACCTAAGGGTAGGGTTAGGGTTTTTGCATCATTCCTTGATATACGGAAAGTCTGTGCATCAGTTGATGATCCTAAAGTGGAATTGCGCCCCTTGGGTACGGTCCGGTGTACCGGAACGTACCCTGGTAACTATCTGATATGGTTAGGGTTAGGGTTATGGAGTAGGTGTAGGCGACTCCCTAGACTCGTTAGTGGAGTAGGCGAGGTACGGTCCGGCATATTACATAGTACCAGGGTACATTCCGGTATACCGGACTGTACCCAAGGTATGTTCCGACAGTACTGCCACGGCAGTACTGCCCCTGGGGGACATAGACCCTCTTAGCGTCACTGCCACGGGCAGTCCCAGTGGTCACATGTTTTGCATCAGCATAATTTCAGTGAATGGCCCTAGATCAAAATAAATAAGTATTATTAACTTAAAGTTAAAATAACCCTGCAGAGAATGGTCTACAGGTAACCGCCATTGAACGGTTACATATTTGTATCTAGCGTGGCTAGGGTTGCCAGGTTGTTACATTGTAAAACCAGGGAAGGTTTGTAGCATTGCACTACATAAGTGTCGTCGCATGTACCTAGAATAGATGAAGGAAGCTTTGTTAGTTGTCAGGTATTGTAATATGTATGTGTATACATGCGCGTGCCAATATAGTAGCATTCCATTCCAATAACTTTAACACAGAATGTATACAATCATCACAGATTGCTTCAGGTCTATAAAGTCTTGGGTACACACTGATTTACATCTAAAATCTTATGCACCTGTCTGACGACTTGAGTAGACGCCATGTATGTATGTGCACATGCTAGACCTTTTCGAGAATTTACGTGTGAATGTGTCGATAGCACATTCGTGTGCATGTAGTGATATTAAATTAATAAAATATCTATGAATTAAAGATGGCACCCCATTTCCAATACGCCGTCACAAAATTACACTCGTGTTTTCTAGGTGACACTTACGTGAGTTGACCACCAGGATGCCTGTTCTCTACCCAAGCCTGCCGCATGGGATGCCAGGCAGTGGCAGCAGTGGTTTGAATCCCAGTCTAGGCCTTGGTTTCCACAGCATGGAGAGTTCGCTCGAGGCAGCGGGAATGTTAGTGGACAAGCACATGAATGTTGACAGGAATTACCCAGAGCTGTCTGACTTATTACAGACTCCGGCACATGGTAAATCGTAATGTTTGACTGCTTTTATCACGAAGCCTACGTGGATGATTCTTATATGTACAGCATATTAAAAACTATAGATTTTTAAATACTTTGAAATTTAACAGAAGGTTTGCATGGCTTTCAGCATAATTTTTAATTAAATTAGCAGCGACATTCCAATTTTGGTTGTTTTGTATTTGTTAGGAAAAAATCAATGCTTGATTTCAATGTTTGTAGATAAAACGTTACATTTGTTTTACTATAAATGTAATTTGCAATGTTGACTCTGATGTTTATTTCTGTATACTTAGATACATATGATTTGTAAATATTAGCTTGATTTTTATGTGTTGATTTTTATGATTTTTATGTGTTGAGTGTCTATTAAGTGCTGAGTGTTGATTTAAGTCGTTAGTGGAATGTTTGAGTTTTAGTGAAATTATTAGGGTGATCTCAAAAAATTGCAATGTTGCTGGTAAGTTATTCGTCTATGCCCATACTATCTACCTCACTAACTCTAGTTGATTCATAGCTTGACGGAAACTAATTTGCACAATTCCCATGCAGATTGCCCGACTGTGAGTGGACTCAACGACTATGACTACCCAAGCCTCGGTGTGCCGAGCCCAGCTCTGCCATCTCTACCCCAGACGAATTTTGCCAAGAAGGTGCCTCTGCCACCTGAACTCGTTGAGCAGTTTGCACGTATCCTTCTACAACATGGTTAGATTAGTTGACTAGATGTTATTACAGGAGTCGAAATGGACCCCCCTATTTTATGTATGATTTTCCTTTTTTTCTGGACAAGTCGTTCTGTTGCTGGAAGAGTGAAAGTAACTATTCACTTTTCTTGTGGAAAAGCTGGAAAGGAAGTTTTTTTATCACCTAGTCGCTCGGTATATTGCGGTGATGCTGTGTAACCATGCTAAAGACACGCCTAGTGTACGTGAAATAGAGTGGAAACTCGTAATGAGAGATACCTGTTATGCACCTCGCTCATTATTCATTTATTGTTAATTATTTTTCCAAGGAAACCCTAAAAAAAAACAAGTGTACAGAACAATAGCTTTGGGTCGTCAATTTTCTTGAGGAAAAGTAATGGTTTCTTTTTTAGGTTTATTGCGTACATGTTAGGTCTGCTAATCTATGTTTTATGTATATATATATATATATATATATATATATATATAAATCGCATTGTCACAGTGATTTTACTGGCCTTCGTTACAAACTTTGTTCTTAACACTGTCTCGATTCACAAAAACTACAATTTGAAAGAAACTATTTATATCAAAGCATTCCCAGCACTAATATTTATATTATCTCAACAGTATTTACATACATATATAAATTTATCTTGTTAAATTCCTATTGCCTTATCTTTTGTGTTATCGCATATTCGCACAGCCTCCTCTCCAATCTCCGGGGATTAACATGTGGTGCTCCTGTGTAAGCGAATGTAACGCCTCATTATCAGTTTAGAAATTAAATCAGCAAACTGCCAAACATTAAACTATGAAAATTATATTGTTGATTGCTCATTCACTGTTGTCAGTTAACTTTAAGTTTTACGTTTGTACTTTAATTTTACTTAAATTGTATTTTTTTACTTATGAATGTAGATGAATGAAACAAGTAGAATTAGTAGAATAGTCGAATTATGAAACAACATTTAAATGTGATTTTTTACAAAAATATTTTAAAGTCCAAAATAAAAACGCAAAGAAGCTGTAAATATTTAAGGTTAATAGCTTGTTGTTTTATTGCATTTTTGAAACATTTTTTGCATGAAGATAATTTTGTAGGATGTTTCCTTAAATGATCTCAGACATGCAATGTAATTGCAACATGGGACTATTTCCTGAAATCAGTAGAGCGTGGCTGACTATTGATAGTGACATATTCGCCTGGAACTACGAAAATGGGTATAAAAGTTACTGAGCATTTTCCTCGTGATTAAGGCGTGTTAGAAATTTATATGGAGCTGGTACACATACACATGGTTCTCCACTGGCCTTAAATGCATGTTGGGTCCGACATACAAATTCATACAAATTCGATTCAAAGCTAAAGCTAATTTCTGACGTCCCATAAATCCTCTGACATGCCTTAATTGCATAATCAGCATGCCTTAATTTCCAACTGTGTTTACATTTGATAATTCCAACAGGGTCATGCTGTGTTTTCACAGCTTCATGCATACATCTCTGAACTGATCGAGTTTACCTGTGTTTTGGGGGTGGCTCATGAAATGCATAATTGATGCAGATTGGTACAACCCCCTCCTGGTCCTTCTCCCATCGGTCCGTAAGCTACACTCCTCCTGAAATTCCTGGGGAAAACTCTGATGCCTACCTGCACCAGCACTTAACAACACGTTGTATTTGCAAGTCACGGTTAAGTTTGATGAATTATCGGTACTCTGCAGCTGTTTACACAGTACTGTTTGAGTTCGTTTATCGTTAAGAAGGCCCATCTATAAGGTGGGTAAAAACGCATGTAATTTCTTCCATAACAGGAGACTCTAATTTCTAAAGGAAAAGATTCGTGTCTTCAGGCATGTGTAACGTTCTAATATTTCACGATTATTTATAGTAGTTATAAATAGCAACAGTGGTTACAATTGTGCACGGCTAAGATGTTCCCCATGTTGACTAACATCTCTATCACTCACAGGAGCGATCTGGCGTACTTTGACGGACTGAACGAAACGATTCTCAGCGTCGCACTCGTCAAACCGAAACCACGTGAGTTGTTTCAGCGCACCTTGTCATTCTACCTTCACAAAATACTCTCGCGTCGTTAGCCTAGCCAGACAATTTAAAGCACCTGTTTCTTACTGTTTAAACACTGCCCTGTATGCGCGTGCATGCGTGAGTGTGTCATTTTGATTCGTATGTGATACTATGGGAGGATTGCATTGTTTTATTCTACTCGGTAACTCTGCTTGTGTTTTCGATAGGAATATTCCAGAGCCACATAGAGTTCCTGCTCTGCTTGGCGACACCTGTGGATATTGTTCTTCTGGGCGTGAGCTTTGCACAGTCCCAAGAGGGTGAGTGTGTATATATTATATCTAATATATATATATATAATATTAACAATAATATGTGTGTGCGTGTGTGTTAGGCACAATTAATGTGTGAGTCATCCTTGGTAGAATTTTTTTTATACTGTTAACCATCCTTTTATTATTCATCTTTTAATATAGCTATCTCTCTCTCTCTCTCTCTCTCTCTCTCTCTCTCTCTCTCTCTCTCTC